TCATTATTCAGAATTTTGGGTGCTGGATTTGTCACTCTTCCATAAGACTGTGGGTGCTGGATTTGTCACCCTCATTCAGAATTTTGGGTGCTGGATGTGCCCTCGTTGTTCAGGACTGTGGGTGCTGGATTTGTCACCCTTTTTTGGGACTGTGGGTGCTGGATGTTCTCCCCTCATTCAGAGCTGTGGGTGCAGCCCCGTTGAGGACCCGGTGCTGGCTGTGCTCCCTCGCAGGGCGCTGCAGGTCCCCAGTGCCACCCACGGCGTGCTGCGGTGGATGCTGAGTGCCACCCACCCCTGGCTGCTGGCTGTGCTCCCTTTCCACGGGATGCTGGTGCTGGATGTGTTCCTGGCAGGGTGGTGGGTGTGGGTACCACCCACCCGGCACAGCGAGTGCCGGGGTGCTGGGTGGTCCCTCGGAGGGGTTTGTGGGTGCTGTGGAACACCACAGAGGGCTCTGTGCCCACCCCAGCATCAGCCCTGGGCATCCCTGGGCAGCTGCAGCTCCTGGAAGATGAAGGTTTTGACCTGGGAAAAACAAAATTATCTGTGTTTGGTATCCTGCATCGCCCTCTGGCCCGTGGTTCCCATCCCCATCATCCAGGTGCCTTTCGTGGTCACTCATCCCAGTTCCTGGACACAGCAGGATCACATCCACACACAGCCCATGGCTGGGGTGGTGCTGGAGAACTGAGTCCCCCCAGTGACAGCAGCACCCCAGAGACAGAGATCGGAGCTTGGCACCACTCCCAAATCCCAAACCCCAAATCCCAAATCCCAAACCCCAAATCCCAAACCCCAAATCCCAAACCCCAAATCCCAAACCCCAAATCCCAAATGTGGCTCCTCAGGGCGGCACAGGTTTGGCTTTGAAGCCTCAGAGGCCGGGCTCAGCTGCCTCCATCCTGCTGGAAATCCAGATTTGGTGCTCTGCATCCTCCTTCGCGCTCTCACAACCGTTCTTCCAGGAACATCACGTGCTCCAGGACTAATTTTAGCTCTGGATAATTGTTGCACATCCTCGGGTGCCGAAAGCCGGCCCCGGTGCATCCGCGGAGTTCCTGCGCAAGGAAACGCCTCCATCCCCACAGGCTCCAGGGCTGGGGGGCAGCTGTGCCCCAGCATCCCCCCAGCACCTCCAGTCCTGCTCCTCCCAGAGCCCCAGCCCTCTGGGAATTAACCCATGGAAAGGCAGAGCCACCTGCAGATCGGTGCAGGGCTGGGGAGATTTGGGATCAGGGGGATTCAGTGACATCTCCCCTGGTCTGGCTGTGGGGGAGCATTGCTGGGGTTTCTTGTCCCCTCTGTGGGGCCCTGTGGCTGGCTGTGGGGCTGGAGATCAGCTCTGGAGGCCTTGGTGCTGGCAGGAAACTTGCAAACCCCTGGAACTCCAGAAAAATCCCTGAACAGGGGAAGATAAAGCCCAAAAAGCAGGGACAAGCCAGACCTTGGGTGAGCCTGTTCCCACAGGCGGCTTTCCAGCTTTCTCACATGAAATCATTTATTCCCTCTGTGCCTCAGCTCCCCATTTGGGATCTTGGAAGGTAGCTGGGACAGGAATGACTGGAAAACAGCCCCCAAAAATTTGATTTTTATCCCAAAGACAGATATTGTGCAGGAAAACAGAAGGGTGAGCTCCACCTTTCTCCTTCTCTTCCCACCAATACCAGGATTGCTCAGGGGCTCTGGATAAATCCCAGGAGATTCAGTCTCCCACATACAAACAGGGAATAAAATGAAGACTGGACTCTGTGAGTATTGTCCCAAAAACTCGAGTCATTAGGAGACCATTTCCCATCAATTGCTTGGGTGGATTTCCAATCAGCTTTGTTACAATTTCCCTCCCTGCCGGTGCTCCGATGGGGACTCCAGCATTCCCTGTGTGTACCCCAAGCCTGGCAGGGGTGAAGGCACATCCCAGCAGCTCCCCAGAAAGATTCCAGGGAGAAGATTCCTCAGCAGAAGGAGAGACCCGAGCGGGCGCTCCCGAGCGTTTCTGTTTAAACGATGACACGAAAATCGAGCTCTCCCTTTTCTCGTTTCTTGTCTCGCCATAGCAATCACAATTAGATGCATTTCAGGGGCATTAGGCACTTCATATATTTATCAAATTATTCACCTAATTTAGCATGGCTTTAGCTGGGAACGAGTGGAGAGGGGAAAAGGAGAATTAACCGCTATTAGCTCGCTTGGAATCGTTTGGTGTTTCATCAGTGATGAACACGTTGGAGGCTTTTGTTCCGTGTTCCTCCAGCAGCAGAAGACATTCAGCCCCTCCTGAAGTGCCCCTCCCCAGGGTGCCACTGCCTGGGAAGTCTCTGAGCTGAGGAATGAGGAGCCTCCTGTGGGATGAGGAGGATGGGGAGAGAACGGGAGCCCTGTCCTTCCATCCCATGCTGGGGGCTGAGCAGGGAAATCTCCATGTCCTGCTGGGCTGTGTGGGGCAGGAAAGCTCTCGGATAAAAGGTTTGTGGGGTTTTTCTTGCACACCTGCCCAGATGTGGCTGTTTCACTCCTGCACCTGGCAGATGAAAACGGAGGTGGTTCCTATCCAAGAGGGGGGTGAGGGCTGTTGGTGTGGGGTGATCCCAGCACAGCCAGAGTGATCCCAGTGACACCCAGGGTGATCCCAGTGGCACCCAGCACACCCAGGGTGATCCCAGCACACCCAGCACACACAAACACGGAGCACAAGGGTGTGCCACCAGCCACATCACAGATTTCCCTTCCCATGCTTCCAGACCGGGAACTGATAGGAAATATGGTCGGCTGGTTCCCAAAAAACCATCAAACCTCCTCCCAGCAGCTGTGCACCGCTGGAGGCTTCTCCACATCTCTGGGGCTGGAAAGGCATTCCCGTGCTGGCTGTGGCTCTGCAGGCCAGGGCTCAGGGCAGGTTTGGTGTCACACCAGTGCTGCCAGCAGCTCTGAGGCTGCTGCCCCAGTCCCACCCCGCTGCTCCCAGCCCTCTGCTCCCCGTTCCGTGCCGCGAAAACCCCGTGGGGCATCCAGAAACCAGAAATAACCCTGCTGCCTTCCTGTCTCCCTTCTCTCCTCCCCACCGCTGCCCCCGAAGGGCTGGAATGCCAGCGGCCGAAGCGGCAGAACTCGAGCGATGACATCGAGGTCCTCTCCACCGGGACACCCCTGCAGCAAGAGAGCCCCGAGCTGTACCGCAAAGGGACCACCCCGTCCGACCTGACCCCCGACGACAGCCCGCTGCAGAGCTTCCCTGCCAGCCCCTGCTCCACGCCGCCCCTCGGCCCCTCCTGCAGGAACAAGAGCGCCCACTTCTCCAGGCAGGTCTCGGTGGATGAAGAGAGGGGTGGTGAGATCCAGATGTTGCTGGAGGGGCGCGGCGGGGATTACCTGCGCCCCAACAGCTGGAGCGAAGAGAAGGGGGGCGGGAGCCGCGCTGCCAGGAGCGGGACGATGCGCAGCGGGCAGCTGGGCTCCACCGCCGTCCCCGAAGACTACAGAGGTCGGAGCGGGGGACACAAACATTCGGCCTCCAACCACAAGCCGAGAGAGAGGTGGACAGATTCCCCAGCCACGGTTTCATGGACTTCCCACCACAGGTCCCACAACCACAGCTCAGGGAGCTCCAAGCTGCTTGAGCTGGACGAGGAGAAGATGAGCAATTACGAGATGGAGATGAAGCCTCTCATGAGGATGGATTCTTATATGCAAGAGATTCACACCCAAAAAAGACACTACAGCAAAGGGGGAGGCTGCAGGAGCGTGGCTGACGAGCACCGCGGGGAAGAGCGGGGCTTTGGGGTTCAGAGACTGAGGTCTAAGTCCCAGAACAAAGAGAATTTCAGGCCAGCTTCCTCTGCCGAGCCCACGGTGCAGAAACTGGAAAACCTGAGATTCGGGGACAAAGCTGAACCTCGGCTACTGAGGTGGGACTTAACCTTCTCCCCGCCACAGAAATCTTTACCTGTTGCACTAGAATCTGAAGAGGACAGTGGGGATGCGCTCAAATCCAGTACGGTGAGTGAAGGGATTGTGTGTGGAATTCTGCCAGGGAAACCTGGGGCTGTCCTGGGGCTGAGTGGAGCGGGACGGGAGGGAAATTTGGAAAATGTGAATTATCGTCGGTTTGTGCCTTGAATCCCCTCTCCTCCCTCCTGCCATCCTGCTGGACGTTGCTGTGGGGAGTTCCCTGCAGACCGTGGTGGGAGCAGCAGGATGTTCCCTGGAGGATGTGAGCAGCAAGCTGGAGTTTTGCAGCCCAGCCCCCAGGCCAGCAATAAAAATCCATTATTGCTGGGAATTTGGTGGGAGAAGGAACAGGCAAGGCTTTGGTGATGCTTCCTTGGGTTATGGTTATGGCCACAGAGCTTCCTGCTGGTCCAGGACAGCCCCTTGTGAGACATCCCACCCTGGGCTCCTCATTTTGGGGGAGAAAAGGACACTTTGGGCATGAAGTGGCTGCTGGGAAGGGCTGGGGTTGTCCAGGAGAGAAGACAGAGCGATCTTAAAAGCTGCTGCAAAGTGGAAGGGAATAATCTGTTCTCCTCGACCAGAATTAATGGGTTTAAAGTCAAGGAGGGTGAGCCATTAACCATCACTAATGAGGTGAGGGCTAATGAATTGTGGGGGCTGGGGGAGGAGGGGTCTGAGTTTGGACATCACCAGCTCAGAGAGGACCTGGACATGGTGAACCTCCTCAGAAGCCTGAACTGGGTGGGTTTTAGGGGTTTTTGCAGTCTTGTTTTTTGAGGATTCTTGGATTTCCCATTAGAAGCTTCCTCACTTGCTGTGCCCACTGGTTTGGTATTGACAGGAGAGGTGATGGGGTCTGCTGGGAGCGCTGGGGAAGCCACCACTGCCCCAAACTGCCACAAACTGCCACAAACTGCCACAAACTGCCACAAACTGCCGCAAACTGCCCCTTGTCGAGTCAGTGCCAAACACAGGGCAGGACTGGAGGTGTCCCATGAGGATGCCCCAGACCTACCCCAGAGAAATGGAGTAGCTGTCACGCTCAGGAGGTGACATTTCAGCAGAAAGGAGCTAAATCTCCCTGTCAGGGGAGCACAGGATGGTGCCTGGTCATGAAACTGAAATGAATTTGTCAGTCAGGCTGAAAATTCGGGCGAGAGGCATCGAGGTGTGTGTGAGGTGTGGTGACATTTGCCAGGGCTGCAGCATCCCTGCTCCCCCAGCACCTGCCAGCAGAGCCGAGGGGGAGGGAGAGGAGGGAGCAGCCAGGGATGTGGGAAGGATGGATCTGCCCCAGCTTCCCCTGCTGGGGCTGTGTATAAATCCCCCCCAGAGCAGCCAGGGATGTGGGAAGGATGGATCTGCCCCAGCTTCCCTGCTGATAAATCCCCCCCAGCAGCCCTGGAGCTCTCTGCCTCCCTAGCCCAGCCTTGGCAGCTCCCAGCCAGCACCGAGCTGAGCACGGGGGCTCCACATCCTGCAGGCCTGGAGAAACAGAGCCCTGCAGGCTGTCCTTGCCTGCCTGGGAAGCACTGGAGACATGACAGGCAGCATTAGGAGCCTGACAGGCTCCCAGAGGGGAAGAGCAGCAGCAGTAATTGCACAGACACCAGCCCTGGGAAGGCTGTGGGACACGCAGATGTTCCAGCACCTTTGACAACACGGCCTGGGAGACACAGGGCCCACAGGAGGGATGAAAGCACTGTTTCTCCTCGCTGAGAGCCACGTGCTTTTGGGGAGATCGCTGGCACAAGCAGCCCTGGGCTCTCTCCCCACCCAGCCCGTCAGATGTGCTCCCACCTCGGAGCTGTCACAATAAACCTCCCTCCACATCCAACAGCCACCAACACATTCCTGACCATTCCCAGCGAGCCCTGGGCACCGAGGAAGGGCCCAGCCTGCACGGAGCAGTGCTTGGAAAAGCCATTAGGATGCACATCCTACTTTGGAAGCGCTGGAGCTGTGGAGCAGCATGTTCAGTTTTCTCACATTCATAACCGAGGGTGGAACAGATGGCGAAGGTTTGGGAGGAAGCTAATGTAATACAGAGGAAGAGATAATATGTGGATTTAAATAACCCACAATGCCAGCAACAATTTGTTCTAGCAGGAATTGCTCGGTGCTAGCAGGGGTTTGTTCCAGTGGCTGGACAGGAGCAGGGGAAGGTGTAGGGGAGGAATGGGAGCTGCAGGGATCTGTGCTCCAACCCCCTCCCCAAATCCATCACCTCACCTGCAGCTGCCATTTCAGACTTCAGGGAGTGTGGTGAATCCCTGAGGAAGAGGAGGGGAAATATTTATCCCACAGACCCCATCTCCACACAGAGGACATTCACACACTCCATCCTGCAAAACCCCCCTGCATCCCCCCCGAGCTCCACATCCCCCCACAGCAAACCAAGGCTCCCCAGTCCCTCCAAAAGCCCAATTTCCCACACTGGCCTGAAATCCTCCTTGCCTGTGGGCTGGCAGGACGTGAGCTCCGGGGCAAGGCAGCTGTGGGCAGGTGTGTGAGAGCCCACCGTGCTCCACTGCCTCTTCCCTGGATCCAGTTTCCCTGGAAGCTGCTCCCTCAAAAGGAGGGGCTCAGAGGGCAGCTCCCACCTGCCACCACCTCAGCAAGGTGCTGCCAGCGAGCAGCAAGGATGCTCAGAGCTGAGCACGGTTATTTTTGCCCTGCCTGAGGTATCCCTGAGCAGAAGCGAGGTCACCCTCACAGCTTAGCTCGTTTTAAAAACAATCTGCCCTAAACCAGCTCTGCACAAGGCCCAGGGGGGTGGCTCTGGCAGCACACCTCTGGAACGGGCTGGGGGTGCAGGTCCTACAAAAACACACTCCAAAAAAAATCACTGCTCGTGATTCCAGCCTGAAAAACCAGCTGGGAGCCACGGGCCCGGAATCCAAGCTTTTCCAAGGTGTGCACAGGCAGGGATGCAGACTCCACAGAGGAGCCAGACGTACAGGAGGAGCTGTAGGAACTTTGTTCTCCTCTGTCACTTTTCCCCAGTCCTTTAAAAGAAACTCAGAGAACTTCTTTGTTGGGGCTGCACATCAGGAATTGAAAAATCTTCTCATAAAGGTCATTTCTTGAGGCCACGGCTCAATAACGTCGATGAAATTCAGCAGCGCTTGGCGTTGGCTCTCAGGGGATTTGGGGGTTTCGGGGTCACTGAGCCACACAAATGCTTTAAAATGACATTTAAGGCCTCCTGATCTCACGGTGCCTCTGTGGGCACTGACCCCAGCACCCACAGGACAAACTCACAGCATTTGTCAGCGTTGGGGAAGAGGAAAACCGGAGCAAACGTGCCAGGACCGGCGCCGGTGTTGTGGGATTAAGGGATTTATAGGAACGTCACCATCCTTCCCGGCCTTAAAGGCCCACGAGGCACAAAGCCTGTGCCTGGATGCTTCACAGGCTCCTGGAGCCTTTGAGGAGAACTAAAACGGGAAAGGAAAAAAGGAATTGTTGAGAGGCTGGCAAAGGAAAGAAGCCCACTAAAACGCCAGCGAGCCTTTTATCCACGGGCACAAACCCCATGGCAGGGCTGGGGAGGCAGAGGAGGGGATGGATCTCCTTTCCTGAACATCTGCGGCTTCTGCCGGGGAGGAGAAGCGCTTTGGGCACGGAGCAGCTCAGCGGGAAGGGCCGGGGCTCAGCCTGATTCATCCTCCTGTCCTCATTTAGCGATCACCGGAGCTCCCTGGATGCTTCCAGGGCCGCGTCCTGGCCTCGCCGAGAGCACCGTGGGGATGGCTTTGACATTTCCCACGTCAGGAAATGCCAAATTTCCTGGGAAAGGGCAAACCCCAGCCCGTATTTCCCCCCAAATTCCCGGGGGAAGAGCGGCAGCGGAGGTTTGAACAGCATCTCCCGGCCGGGGGATGTCCGGAGCCGGCGGCTCCCCGCGGTCCGGCAGAGCAGCCTCTCCATCCCCGCTCGGCAGAGGGGAGGATCTGCCAGAGGGATCCGGCAGGTTCCTGTGGCTGGGGAGGGGCAGGAGGAGCAGGCAGCCAATGTGCAGGCGGAGCTGGGATGTGCCGAGCTGCCCGAGCCGGGGATGCGGGCAGGGGAACGGGGAACGGGGGATGGAGCCCGGCACCGGCAGCTCCCCCCGCCCTGGATGCTCCCCTTGCCAGGGATTCATTACATTTCCCTTTTTTTTAAGGAAGTTTGGCACCTCTAGCCCTAAAGGTCGTAAAAAGAGATTAAAATAAAACCTGGGTGTTTTCTCCGTCCCCCTGTTGGGGGTGTGAAGCTTCCCTGTGCATGGAGCTGTTCCCATTTGGCTGCTCTGGGATGAGGCTGCTGGGAAAGGGACCTGGGGACTTGTTTGGCATTAACATCCCTGGGATTAAACCCTGGGATTTATCCCAGTGCCCTTCCAGCTTCAGGTTTTCCCATTTATTTTTTCCCCCATGGGGAGCCATCCCCAGGTTCTCCCAGCACAACAATCCCGGGGTTTTCCTTGCTCCTCTCATCTCAACCAACCAGATCCACCCCCAATCCCAGTGGCAGCTGCGTGTCCAGACAAACAGGAACCATCATTCCATGGGAATAAGGAGGAAGAGGAGTCCTGTTGCCATCACACCTCTGGAATGAGGCAGGGCTGAACATCACTGCAGGGGTTGTCTCTTCTTAAGACAAATAATAATCACAGACTGTTCCTTCTCTAATCTCTTTCGTGTTCAGACAACCTGAGGTAAATAATCTTCAGAGAGAAATGGGATGTTCAACTCGACAGGGTCCTTTTCAAAGCTGTTTCATCTCCAGGGCCTTTGATGTACCTGGGAGCACCTTCTTGGCTCTGCTCCTGTCATCTGGATATGGGGGTTGAGCCCAATTCCATCTCTTACCTTGGAAAATTTGGGCCCAAACACCAGCTTTTGACTGCATTAGAACCAAATTTTGACTGCTGGCTTCAGAATAAAAATCTTAAAATTGAAGCTTCAAACAAGCACAGGGAGCTCAGTCCCAGCAGCTGGAGGTGAGGATTGAACCAGGGGTGACAAACCAGTTCTTTAAGAGGCTAAAGTATCTCTAAGAGGATAATCTCTCCGTTTTTTAGCCTTTTTCCCCCCCAGAAGCAGGTTTTTCCTCCTCACCCAACTCACTTTCACTCACACAAGCACTTTTAGCATCTCCTGGGCCCCTTCCTGGAGCTGCGGGAGCTGCTGCAATCCGCTGGAGAAAGCCAAGAGACTCCCTGATGTTTCCTTTGCTAAATGCTCCTTAACCATTTCACAGAGCCTGTTCCTGGCAATGATGTGACAATTCAGCACAAATGTCACCGAGCTGCTAAGTTTGCAGCCCTTTCTGCAGTGCTGAGGCTGGAAAATGGTGCATATCTATATTTTTTTTTAATTTTTTTTTTTTTTTTGCTGATCCAAGTCCTTAGTAATTACTCTTAATAGATCCCAGAGGGATTCCTAGGTAACCTGCACTCTGGTTTCCATGGCAGAGAGGCAGAGCTTGTACCCTGTGATAACAGATAATAATGGATTGCTAATGCTTAAATTAATTATGCCACAATTGCATTTGTAAACCAGCTGTCCGTCGTATTCCCAGGAAAACTCTGGAGTTGCTACACAACAGTTCCAGGATAAAAACAAACAAGGCAGAGGGGCAGGAATTACTCTACAGCTACAATTACTGTTATTACTCCTGTGCCATAACCATGGTTTACTCCTATTTTAGTGTTTCCATGGGTTTAGGTCTAAGTTTCTGTTCTTTAAGCTCAGAAACAAAGCTTAAAAATCCTTGGGGATCCAATCTGTTGATAGAGAAGGATCCTTTTGCTGATATTGGTGGAGATTCCCACCCTTGGCAGATGTTTTCCTTCTCCTGTGAAGGACTCCAGCCATCTTATTGTAAAAAAATTAAAATAAGTCTCCAGGAAATGCCTGCCCGTGGCGGGGGGCTGGAATGAGAGAATCCTCAAGGTCTCTTCCAACCTGAACCATTCCTCAATTCCACAGGAGGCCAAAGATGAGATAAGGCCCCACCAAACTGTGACAGCAACAGGCAAAGCTGCAAATCGGGGGCTGTCTCCTGTTTCCAGAGGCTCCTGTTGGAGGTTGGAACGCAGTGGGAAGGGTTTAAAAGCCATTGGTTTTAAAGTACTGGTTCTTTGCTGCAGCAAAAGGGAGTTCAGAGCCCTGCAGCCAGGCTGGGCTCAGCAAAGCCTCTCTCCCAAAGCTCAGCTCCAGCAGTGATCCATCTCCTGCCCAGGCACGGAGCAGGAATGGTGCTCAGCGCTGTCACAGCTCCTGCCACACCAGGGGAGAAGGGCAAACATTTCACAAAAAATCATTCCCTCTGAGCACAGGGGAAGGCACTGAGACCTCACAAGGCAGAAATCAGGCAGACAAAGCATCGAGAAGTGCAGCAGGATCCGTAAGTGGAGCTAAAGCAGAAGCTTTGGAGTGGCAAAGCTGCTTATCCAGCAGCAGCTGCCATTCCCTGCCATTCCCACCTGGACAGCCCTGGCTGGAGCAGCACAGGGAGGAGGGGGTTAAAAAGAGGGAGCTGTAAAAAGGAAGCAAAATTTGTGAGGTGTCAGCTGGTTGGTTCCAAGAGCTGCCACCCCTCCCTGGTCATCCTGTTCCTGGGATGCTGTGGCTGGGAAAAGTGGAAGATCCTGTGCCTGCAGGGGCAAAGGGAGGATTTTCTCCTTTCCTGCCCTGCTCGGGGGCTGCAGGATGCAAACAGCCTGAGCCAGGGCTGAGCACAACCTCTGTGCACTGAGGATCCGGGGGATGCTGATGTGAGCCCGTGTTGGATCCCCCTCATTTTTCCAGCTGAGGGCACAGCTTTGCTGCCCTGTGTGAAAATCACAGATCCACGGCATCGTTTTGGCTGGAAAATGCTCTGGAATTGAGGTCAGCCGTTCCCCCAGCACTGCCCCAGGTCAACATCCACACAGCTCCAGGGATGGGGGCTCCACCGCTGCCCTGGGTGAGGAATTATTCCCAAATATCCAATCTGAACCTCCCTGCTACAGCTCAGGGCTGATTCCTCTTGTCCCGTTGCTTTTTCCAGGGAGAAGTGACCAGCGAAGGCTGTGCTCCCTCCCTGGACACATCCCACCAAAGGGTTGCATCCCAAAGAGAGGGAACAGGGAACTGGAGGGATCAGCAGCATGGGCAGAGCAGGGGCAGTGCTGGCTGGGCTGTTTTGGCAGGGAATTGCTCCATGGAGCAGCCCAGGGCCATTGGAAGCGTGGCTGAGCCCTCCCTGGCCGCGGGGCCGGGGGCTGGAGCGCGTTCTGCGCCTCGGCAGGGCCGTGCCAAGGCAAACAATGACACTGATAATCACCCACAATCTGTTATTATATTACCAGCAGCTCAAAAACCCTAAAACCCAATAATCTTCTGAAATGCAGCTAATCCCTCCCAGCGCCAGCAAGGCCGGGCTTGGCACGGCCGGGCTGGGAAGGGAAGGAGCGGCGAGCAGGGGGCGGTTGCTGCCTTTGGAAAGGTTTTCATGGCACAGGAGGAGAGGTTTGCCAGGAGCAGCCAGGCCTGGATGGGCACCTGGCTGCTCTCCTCAATCCCTGCCTTGGCTTGGCTGCCTTTGACCCTGTTGCTAAGTTACAAATATGCCTTTCCAGCAGGCTCCAGCATCCTCGCTCCCACCCACTCCCAAACGCGAGCTGAATCAGGCTGCTCGGAAAAGAAACCATCCCAGGCCAGCCAGGAGCTGCTTTTTCCCGTTTCTTTGGCAGCAGCTCCGCAGAGCCGCCCAGGGAAAGCTCCCAAGGGGTGCCCAGCACTGTCCCCGCTCCATCCCAGCCACGTGGGCAGCGCCAGGACAGGGACAGGAGCCTGGGGAAAAGCATTTGGACCATTCCAGGGCTTGGATGCAGCAGGAATAGCTGAGGATCCCAGTGACTCCCAAGAAATAGCAACCACCCACCCGCTGCCAGCGTCGCTCGCCCTGGTGAGAGCCACGCTCACACCGTGGCACCGGGGCCGATGGATGAGGTGCCAGGATGGATGAGGAGCCGGGGATGAGGTGCCAGGGGATGTTTTCCTGACCAGTGTCCCACAGAAGGATGTGTTGGAGGGTTGGCTGCAGCGCCCTGATGTTCCTGGGATGTTGGTGGGATTGTCTGGGATGTGCTCCAGGGGAAGCAATGGATGTTCCCACAGGGATTGAACAATTCCTGGCATGTTCAGCCCAGCTGAGGTGGGTGTGTGCACGGGGCAGCTGCACTGGGGCTCCTGCAATGTTTTCCAGATAAAATCACAAAATCCTGGGATGGTTTGGGTGCGAAGGGACCTCAAAGCTGATCCCATCCCACCCCTGCCATGGACAGGGACACCTTCCCCTAACCCAGGCTGCTCCAAGCCCCGTCCAGCCTGGCCTTGGACACTTCCAGGTAGTTCCCAGGAGCTTCATTTGATCCACACAAACTCAGGGAAGGTTATCAGAGCATTCTCAAAAGGTTGCCTGAACATGGACCCCGTGTGCTGGCCTGCTGTCCAGGACACCTGGAAAGCAACTGTGTTTATTGGGAAATGTCCTGTGCACACATCAAACCATCCCCAAACCACTCTAAGATCCCACATAATCTGCTTTCTTTGCTGGTTTTATTTTCCTTTTCATTGGCTACCTGATAAACAACTGATTTTAGTTGTGTTTTTAAGGCCAGAATTCCTATGGGAGTGACATGGGATGATCCATCATCCGTCAGGGGGTGCAGCCAGGTGTTTGTTTGGCAGCTTAAAAAATCTTCCAAGGGTTTTGGGAGGTGTAAATTGGGATCTGCTCATCCCCAGAGCTCCCTGCAGAATTCCAAGGATCCATCTAACTCCTGTCCTTCTCTTTCTCTTGCAGGGTTCAGCTCCCATCCTGGTAGTCATGGTGATCTTACTAAATATTGGAGTCGCCATTTTGTTTATTAACTTTTTCATCTAATTCAAGACTGTCTTGTTTGCAAAAATAACAGTTACATGTATGAATGGGGGAAAAAAAAACAAACAAAAAACCAACAAAACAAAAACAACAACAAAAAAAAACCAGAACCAAACAACAACAACAAAAAACAAACAAAGGGAAAAAAAAGAAATCATAACTCGAACTGTCCTCCGACAATTTCCAAGTCTTTTCACAGAAGAACAACAAATGATCGAGTCTCACTCACAGTTTGCCTTTTTTCCTGGGTAATGTTTTTTGGATTTTAGCCAAAATTCTTTGCTTGTATAACACTATGCTGTGTGGCATGGCAAAATGCTATCAACACTCTGCCCCCCCAACACTGGGAAGGATGAGAAGGAATCCCAACAAAAGAAAAAAAAACCTCGTTTCCCTTCCCCTCATCCCCCCTCTCCAAAGAAATTGTCTTTGTAACAACAGCAATGAACCCCAAAATGGAGATGAGACGAGGGGAGCATGGGGAGAGTTTGGGTGGAGTGGGGATGGGTTCTGGGATGCTCCAGGCTGAGTTTCCCAGGGAAATCCACAACAGCTTTTATGATAAATGGGAGAGAAAAGCGAAATCTGGCTTTTCACCTTTTGGAAATGGAGGAATGCTGCTGTGAGAAGGAGGAGAGAAGGAGTACAGGGAAGGAATGAACCCTGTCTGGAGGGGAAAATGGGACAACAGGCCCCATTCTGATCCTTGTTTTTAAAACAAAAATTGGCTTTTTGCAGAATTCCTCGGGGCAGGGGGGAATAGGGAACACGAGGTGTGAGCAGCAGCCCCAGCACCCTCCAGCCTTCACTCCTCCTCCCCAGGCTGCTCCTCACCCGTGGCAGGGCTGGAAAACCACCCAGAGTTACTTTTAATTCACAGCCAATTTCTCCTGGCTAAAACTTCCCACCAAAAATCCCCTTTGGAGGCACCTCCAGCAGCACGGATGGAGTGGCTGACGGTGCTGTGCTGGTGAGGAGCATCCTGCCCATCCCAAAAAATCTGCAGAGGGAGCAGGGTGGGGAGGGACAAGGGGACAGAGGGCTCAATTCCAATCCACTGAGGATGGACAATAAAACAAAACCAAGCAAAAATCCAGCTGTTTCTCAAAGGCACCTGGGGAGGAGCACCTGGAGCATGTCCCAGAGAGGAGGGAGAGGGTGGTGGGTTTGTCTCTTACATCTTGCTGTGGACTGTTTCAGACATCATGCTTGGGCTCTGAGCATGTAGTATTTTGCACTTTGTAATGCAGGATGTATATTCCAGCTTCCAACATGTCCCTGTATAAAAAAAAGAAAAAAAAAGAAAAAAAAAGAAAAAAAAAGAAAAAAAAACAAGAAAAAAAACAAGAAAAAAAACAAGAAAAAAAAAAGAAAATCAAACCAAACATCGTTGGCAATGGCAGCCTCTAAGGATGTATTTTCTTTCTTTTTTTTTTTTTTTTTTTTTTTTTTTTCTATGTCACTTAATTTGTTCGTTTCTACCATCTTTGTACTATGCCTGCCTTGATTTCTGTCCCCTCCCTGTCCCCACGGATAATCTGCATTACTCATTAAAGATGCCGTATCCCTGTTCTGAGCTGTCCTGGTCCCCATCACACAGCGTGCTCTCAGCTCCAGCCCTTGGAAGTGGCTTTCCCAAAGCTCCCGTTCCCTCCCCACGCTGCTCCTCCACCACCAGCTCCCACGGCTCCTTTGGGATTTGGCAGGGCCAGGGACCAAATCCCACCCTCATTCCCCCCTGCAGCTCCAGCAGCAGGAGAAGGGTGCAGGAGGGTGGCAGCTCCGAGGAGGGGGGAGACCCTCACAGGAGATTTTGGGGGTGGGGAAGGAGGGAAAAGCCCTCCTCGACATTCACGTCCAGAGTTGTTGGATCCAGCCCGGACTCGTGGACTCAGCTTTGCTTTGCTTCTGTTTTAGCTGTTTCTCTGCTACCTTTTCAGCAGATTTCTTATTACACTGCACTGGATTGCTATATTTTTAACCAGAAATAAACTAAGGATTAGAGCATGTGCCAGTTAAATTCAGTTCTTTTCCTTACATGGTCTGATTCCCTCCTGTCGCAGTTTTGCTTCCTCTTCTCCTTCCTTTCCCTTTCCAGGGCTATGGGTGGACAGGGGAAAGGATAATTTTGAAATTCCATTTTCCACAGTAACTGTCCATCATCTTCCCACCTCTTCCTTTTTTTGTGCTGTTTTGGATTTTCCTTTTGGGTCCTTAGTCATCATTTTTTTTCCCCCCTCCTTCTTCAACGCTTGCTGCACACTTGAAATGAACCAAAAATACGACATATTGGGATTGCAGCCTTGGGAATTCACCCCTGGGGTTTGGAATTCTGCTTTCACTCTTTGGAAAAACTCTCGAGGACTTTTTATTTTTTTGGTGCATTCGAGTGCAGGACACAAAAGTCCTGTCAGGAGCAGGTTCAACAGAAGCCTGCAGACACAGATATTTAGATATCTGTAAAACAGCACCAAAATGCCTCTTGCTATCCATCAAATAAAAGCACTGGTGATTTCCTGACTGGATTTTTCCCACTGGTGCCTGCCTAATTATTCCTGCTCTCACCCCTGGACCAGCACAAATCCAACTTGGGTTTTTCAGCTCTCTCTTCCACTCAGTCAAGCTGAGTTTTGCTCAGTAGGAAAGACAACCACAGACTAATATTAATTGGCTCCCAATCCACCTGGTCCAAAATAATGACTCCTTTGTTAATCCTGGGAAGTTGAGCCATTTTTCTTAGTCCTGGGCTTTTCACATTTGCCCAAGGCCAGAAATATTTCTGAGAAGTAGCCCAGAGAGAGAAGTAATTCAGTGTATTTCCCTGTCTTATGAGCCTGGCTCCTGCAGATCTACCTAAGGCCCACTAAAATGTCCATCCAGGTGGGCCATAAATCCATGGAAATTATCCAGCCCTGCTGCTTTATGTCCAGGCTGGCAGCTGCACTCGGGCAGTTGAAGGTTTGGATCATTTTTTCAGGCTGCACTGGAATTTTTATGTTCTGACAGCACGAGGAGGGGCTGGCACAGCAGAGCCATTGGAGAGGGGGAATTTGGGAAGGGAGATTTGGATCCCAGCTGTGTGAGAGGGGCTGGTCCAGCACTGCATCCTTGGGAAAAGCGAGGAGGAAGGAACACAAACCCCCTGTGCCACATCAGCTGCTCCCCAGCCCAGCTGGTGTCTGGGTTGTTGTACCCGAGACCCAGATTCCAGCAGTCTCCAGAGCCTGAGCTCCCAGAGATGCCGGGCTGTGGCAGCATCCCTGCCAGGAAAACACATCCAGACTGCATCAGAGGGGGAGGAGCGACAGGAGGAACAGGGTGGGATCCACGGTGAAGGGATTAATTGAGACCTGAGGACTAATTACACACGGCAGCTTTGGCACCTCAAGGGAGCACGGAAAGCAGGGATATTTTGGAAGCTGTCACGGAGGGCTGTGCCAGGGCAGGACAGAGCAGGGATGGGATGGGATCTCCTGAGCTGGGGGTGAGGGGTTTGCACGGAACAGAATCCTGACAGTGGCAGCTTTTCCTGGCTTAGGGAACAGCTCAGCTCCTTGCCCAGCTCCTGAATGATTCCAGCAGCCGTAGGATCATTCAGTCATGGAATGGGTTGGGTGGGAAGGGATCTTAAAGCTCATCTCATCCCACCCCATGGCAGGGACACCTCCCACTATCCCAGGCTGCTCCAAGCCTCGTTCTCTGGCCTTGGACACTTCCAGGGATCCAGGGACAGCCACAGCTGCTTTGGGCACCTGTGCCAGGGCCTCCCCACCCTCCCAGGGAGTGGCAAATCCCCCAAAACTTTGCACAGAAAGGTGTGGACTCACCCAAGTGAGAGGACTGAACAAGCACAAGGGATTCCTTCCTGGATGGAAATGCTTTGTTTTCACCTTTCCCACATCACCAATAAATACTCCGTTTCCTCCTCTCCCAGGTTATTGATAAATGGTTTCTTTTCACCTCCCACCTGTTATTTCGTGGGGAAGATCCCTCCCTGTCAGACATGTTTTTATCTCACCAATTAAAGCTCCCTGTCACCTCTATTTCATCTTCCTTCTGTCCTGATTAGCCTGGTGGATCCCAGCCCTGCTCTCTAGAGAGCTGCATCCCTGGGGATGAGCCAGAGCAATACCCAGGGCACCTGGAACTCCCTGCACAAGGACAGCCAGTCCTGGTGGCACCTCCAGGCATCCCTGGCTGCTGCAGCACACACTTGGATCCCATCTGCTGTCCCTAAGGCACTGCTCTGCTGGGATGGAAGGGATGCCTTGAGGAGAGGGGCTGGAAAAACAAATCCTTGGATCAGCCCACTCCTTCCTGGCCTCAGTGGGGTCTGCAGGTGGACATTTCACTGGTCATGAAGAGGGCACTGGGCCACCAGGGAGAGAAACCAGGGAGACTCCACAAAGGCAAAATTACAGTGAGCACAGAGAAGGTTTCTGTGAGTGCATCTCACAGGTAAGGCAGGAAAGGATTCCCAGGTTTTTCCAGGCATCTCAGAGCTGCTGGTGCACTTTGCAGTGCCTGCAGATCTCACAGCAGGAACTGCAATCCCTCTTCCACACCAGGAGGAAAACAAGAACAAAAGCTGGGATTTACTGAGCAAAACAAGATGATACAACCAAGTCAGTTTATTGTAGGAACCCCTGGAGAACGTCCTGGCCCCAGCCAGAATTTGGGACCAGTGAACCATTGTCATGTGCACAGTTTGTCTGGACAGACCCCAAGCAGCAAAGTCAGTGCTGCACGGCCCAACCTCAGCAGAACAAGTGCTTGGACAGCAATCCTGTTCCTCAGGAGCCTCCCACAGCATTCCCAGGAGTAACAGCAGATCCAGAGCATCCATCCAGGACAGTCAGCCCAGAGCTGGGAAAGGCTGGAGGCCAGGATGGACATCAGGCTGAGCTCAGCAGGGCTGACCACCGCTCCCAGCACGTTCCTTCACTGCTGGAGCAGCCTCAGGACATCTGGATGGGATCTTCATAGAAAGTCTTGGCCATGGCATGAGCCACCTTGAGCACCTTCTTGTCCTTGGCTTCGGGGCCCATGTGGCTGCGGGCCAGCCTGAGCCAGTACTGCTCTGTCCTGGCCACGTACTGGGCCTGGTTCTCCCCAGGCTGCACCGCTGGGTGCTGCTGCTCCCCTGGGCAAAGAGAGGGACACAGAAAGGTCACACACAGCTCACAGGGCCAGCCACCCACGTGGGGCTGAATGGAACAGCCTGCAAACCTACCAGCAACCAGGAAAATTTCTCTTTTATTCCAAGGGCAATGTTTGAGGAAAGCTGTTTCTGCTGGAAAACTCACCTGGAGTTTCCAGGCTCTCAGCAGAACCAGGCACTGCACTAAACCCCACTTCAGGTTAGTATGGAGACAGCATTTATTAGTAATTACCTTCCTCATCTTCACTCTCCTCTTCAGAGCTCTCTTCTTCTTCCTCCCCTCCCTCTGCACCCTCCACATCATCCTCCTCCTCTTCATCTGACTCCGACTCCTCCAGCCATTCCTGAGTTTCTTGGATGAGAAAGGAAAGAGGAGAGAGGCACAAAGAGAGAGTTAAGGTACAAAGAGATAACCCTGGGTAATGCCCACATGCTCTGCAGGACCCCAGCCCTTCACTGCCCTCACACAGTGGGGACATCCCTGTTCCTTGGAGGAGTGGACAGGCCTGGCACAGCAGGATTCCCAGGATGGCCACCACGACCCTGTTTTCAGCTCTTGGATTGGGAACTCGCAGGGCAGAGCTGACTCTCCAGTGACCCCAAAGCTCTGGGCACGCTGTATTACCACACATCCCCAAGCTTTTCCCTATCCAGGGAAAACCTCCACTCTAACTCCCCTGAGGAAGCCCCAGAGTTGTTTTTTTCCCTAGTGTTGCTCCCCTGAAGGCACAGGGAGAGCTCCCAGCAGCAGAGCTTACTTGGATCCATCTCCAGCAGCACCTTCCACTGCTCCATCCTGTGCAGGTCGATGCTGTGCAGGTCACTGAGGGTCACCAGGCGGTCTCCCACCTCGAACATGCCCCCGTACACGTAGAGGACCCCGTGTTTCACTGCCACCATGGCACTGGAGCGTGGGCACGGCTCCACAGGCTGGCCCAGGGCTCCACCTTCCTCTTCCTCCTCCTCCTCCTCTGAGCCAGACCTGTCCTTGTCTTCTGCAGCTCCAGGGATCACCTGCTTGATGGTCATGACGGTGCCATCTTCTGCCACCACCTCCTTGACGATCTCCAGGGGCCCCTGGGGAGGTGGCAGCTGCAGCTCCTCCTCTCCAGCAGCCTCTGCCCCAGCCTGTCTGCCACGCCTGCGCTTCCTCTTCTCTGATTTTGGGCCCTGAGAACAGGAATTGAAGGAGATTTTGTGGGAATTGCACGCACCTAAAAGCAGTTCATGCAAACAGCATGGATGCTGCTGGAGGGAAGGAACAATTCCTGGTTTTCATCACAATTTAAAGTCTCAGGTGATCAATGTGATTCTTCCTACAGCATGAGCTTCTCCCAGCCTGGAACTGTGAAGATCCTGGAGAATCCAGGGCGTGGAATTGCTGCCTCTGCTAAGAGAGGAGCAGCTCCTGCTCCCAGGTGCCACAAACACACAGAGGCCACTGTTCTGTGAGAAGGGAAAGTAACCCAGGATTTCCTGAAATCACAATTGCTGGGTGCGAAATTACAGCCCATTACCAGGCAGCACTCCAGGTCTTGGAAGAACTCTGTGAAAGGGCTGGAAAACAATCAGTTTGGGAAGGCTGAAGCAACCAGCTGAGTGCCTGTTTGCTTGTTATTATGGGATTGACTTCTCCATTTGGAGAAAAAAGCCAGGAAGAGGCAGGGGGAAGGAGAAGTTGAACCAGGTTTGCACCTCCCTTTGGCCTGTGAGAGTGATTCAAACATAATCAAAGAGCTGAGCAGAGTTCTGAAGCTCTTGGAGGCAAGGTTAATATTTCATCTCTTCTGATAGCTCGTCAGCACTGGGGAGAAGAGGGAGGGGCTTGATCCCAAAATCTTTTCCCAGCAACTATGAGTGAATTCCCCTCATGTCAGATTCATCTGGCTCTGGAGAAGGCTTTCAGCAAAACACCAGGAATATGCTTTCAAGCTGCTTTGCTTCATTTTGCATTCCACAATAAATGGGGCAGCCTGATTCCTGGAAGAGAGGGATTGCTCAGGTGCACCCTGAGCTACCAGAAATACACAACACCTTCAAAGAGAGAAAAATCCTTGCTCCATCCCTGGAAGTGTGCAAGGCCAGCTTGGAACGACCTGTGTTCATGCAAAGGGGTGGAATGAGAGAATCTTTAGGGTCCCTTCCCATCCAAACAATCTGTGAAATCTCCAAGAGGCCAAACCAGACCGAAAGGATGTGCCAGATGATGAAATTATTGTATTTAACCCCAGACCTTGAGCTGTGCAGGGAACCAGCGGTTCTTCCCGATGTCATAGAAATAAATGTCATTAAAGAAGTTCCCTTCAATGCTCTCCTCATCCTCCTCATCGTGCACTCCCCCAAAAAGGAGGCAGCGGTTGTTGGGAGCAGCAGCCACGGAAAAGCCGGACCTGGGAGTGGGTTTCACTCCAGAGGGGCTGAGCCGACTCCAGCTCCACCTGTCTGGGATGGAGAGAACAAATGTGAGCACCAGCAGAGGAGAATCCTGCTTGGTTTGTGTGTTCCAAAGCCTCTCAGAATTCCAGCCCTGTTTGAGATATTCTCATGGCATCTCCAGGGTATTTTCAGAGCTTTCTGGAGCAAGGAGACTCTTGGAAGTGTCTGCACCTTTACTGGAGGGTGGAGTTCAGACAAGGCCCGATCAGATGGAGCCTTCAAGCACCAAGAAATGTCCTTCAGTTATCCCATGGAGCCCTCCCAACTTCCATCAGCTCCCTCCACCTCTTCTGCCACCTTAACCCCCAAAATAAACACAGCTCATCCCCAAAAGCCCCAGCCAGACTTTAAAAGAGAGCTCAGCAGCAGGACAAGACTTGTCCTCTATCCCTCTGCTTTTCTCCAATCCCTTCTACTCTGACTTGAGAGCAAATCCCTGAGATGCAGGCTGGGAGAAGCACTGCCAGGCCCTGTGCTTCTGAAGGAACTGCAATTCCAACAAGATAAAACTATAAATAGGAATAATGCAAACAGGGCCTGCAATCCAGACAGTGCTGGTGACCAAGCCTCCTCCCCAAATCCCATCCCAGACAGTGAGGTTTGGAGAAATCAATCGCAATTTTAACATTTTAGAAATTCAACTCCAAGAAAATTGTCCCGTTGTCTGAGTCAAGGAGAAAATCTCCTCAGGAAAATGCTGGAATTCCTATTCCAATCAAAGATAACCAAAGCTCCACAATGGATCCATCTGTTCCAGGAGGATTGTACCCCATGAAGTGGGCCCAACGTGGAGCAGGGAAAGAGCTGAGTGATCTCTCCCTGTCCTTATCTCAATCCATGAGTCTCCCATTGGATTTTCTCTCCCTACTCCAGCTCAGAAGGGAGGGATGGATCAGCTTTAGCAGGTACCTGGCATCCACCCAGGAACACCCCACCACAGGAGAATTCTGCAATCCCAAAGATTTTCTGTTGTGGAACAGGAAAGCACTGATCAAAATGTCCCAGAAACAGGAATGTGGAAATGTTGTTTTAATTCCCTCCCACAGACAAACCAAAAAAAAAAAAAATCTCTAAAATCTCTTTTCCTGGATTTCTTCCTGAGCCAACACTGGGTCACAGAGGTTATCACTGAGAGGGGAATTTGGTTCCAGGTTTTTTGGTGTGTTATCCTAAGGAAGGGAGAGGATTTGCATTCCCAGGGCTGCAGTGCTCACCTTCCTCCTTGCCTGCTCCTTCAGCCTTCAGCAGGAACATATCTGTGTGCAGGATGCCTTTGTCCACGTCTTTCTTGATCCTCTGCAGGGAAAGGAAACACAGGGATGCTCAAGGAAACAGCTCCAGTGGCCAAATCATAGAGGGGATCCAACTGCAAATGCAAACCCTGGGACTGGGCAAGAAGAGGCCACTCTGGAGCATCAGCAGCTCCAAACCATGAGATTCAAAGCAGAGATCCTCCCTGTGATGTGCCAGAATTCCTGCCTGTGGCAGCAGGAAGGGCCCTCCAGGCTGCAGCACGGATTTCTGGGGACTTGTGGCTGGATGGAGACTATGGGATGCACCCAGAACAAAATAAATTGTCACAGGAGATTAAAACCAACTGGTTTGCAAGCAAAGGAAGGATGGGCAGCACTGAGGAAACAGAAGAGCCAAGGTCCTGGCTTTTACTCAGCCCCAGACAGGAGCAGGGGCTCTCAAAGGGCTGATTGAACTCCTGTAAGAGGAGCAGATTCCCATCCCCAAAGTGGGACATGACAACTCTCCAGGGCTTGCAAGGCCCTCAGGGGCTCTGCCCTGGATGCTGAGCAGAAGCTCTGGTCTGTAATGACCTCATGTGGCCCCTGTGACCAGCCCAGGCTGTGGGTCCTGTCACCACCTGAGCCAGCAGAGGTGACAGCTCTGCCATGTGGGGTCCCACACAGCCCTGAGCAACAGGTTCATCCTCCTGAACACAAGCAGAAACCCCACTCCTACCCCTACAAAAGGCAACAGCGAGACAGCAGCAAGAACAGGGTGAAAGCTCAGCAGAAGCAATTAAATGCCTGACTTTCAGTGTGATTTCCCTGTTCCTTTCCCTGGAAGCCCTGGATTTCAGTGCTCATGGCAACAGCAGCATTCCAAGGCAGCTCTGTGCCACACCACCGTAGGAGGTGTGTTAATAATGTCATTATCCACCCATCCTTCGTGCACAGCTCCTGCTTCCTTGTAATTCCCGTGCTCCTGGGGCCATGGCACTGCTGGGATGAGGAAATCTGCACCCAGCAGTGCATCCCAGCAGTGGATCCCAGGGTTCAGCCCTCAGGAAGATGAGCTGTATGGAAACTACAGGATGCAGGAATTCTGGCATCCAGAGGAGAGAAATAAATTGTCACAGGGGATTAAAACCAACTGGGGCCAGCCCTGAGGGTGAGAGTCCTGCTGCACACCTGTGCCTGGCACGTTATGTTGGTGCTGGGCTTCACAATTCCTGGGAATGCTGGTTCAATTCTTAGGGAGAAGAGAGGGAAGTGTGTTGCAGGCATTGCACAACTCCACCCAGGTGAAGTGTGAGGAGCATAGCACCGCAGGAGAGGCAAGAAAGCAAACACAGAGAAGAGCAGCTGGCTCCACAACCATCCAAGCTGTGTGGAAAAACCACATTCCTTTCTCCTGAAAAGCTCCCTGTAGTAAACACACTGCGTGTGCAACATGACAAAGCTCCCTGGGCTCAGAAAACCCCGATGAGGTGGAGTGGGAGTCAGTTTTTGTTGTCACAGACACTTCCAGCTGCTGGAGAGATCCATCCCCTGCCAGCCAGGACAAGTCAGCCCTGAGCAAATCATTCTCTCACTCACAAGAGGTTGCTGCTCCTCTGTGCTTTTAAGTTCCAGGTGTTTGTTTTCCAGCACAAAACTGGCTGGGATAAGCACTGTGGTTTGCACATGCAGGCACAGTGGGGAGGTACAAGAAATTTACAGGTATCAGCTGAAAATTCCAGCTCTGATGACAGACTGCAAAAGAAACTGAGGCATGGAGAGCTTGAGAAGTGGAATCAGGATTCTCCACGTGCTAAAATTGTCTGATAGGAGATCAACAGCATTCAAAAACATCCAAATAGCAAAAGTGTGTATCAAAAATATCCAAACAGCAGGCAGAGCTACAGAGGGAACCAGTCCCACCAAACCTTACAATTCAGGCACCTCCACATCTCCCAGCAGAATCCACTTCAGCTTTGCAACAACTGCCACTAAAAAAACCCCAGAACAACACCAAGATCCCCACACCCCAGGCAGCATCCCAAAGCCCTGCCCACGTGTAACTCCAGCCCTCCCCTGGCCTGTAGGCTGCACCTGCAAGGTGGAGCAGCAGCAGCTCCAGCCCCTCTGTTGCCTAGCAATGGAGAGGCCTCGAGGCTTCCCACAGCCCGAAATGCAGCTCGCTGCAGCAAGCCCCATCCCCAGCACAGGAAAGGGCTGAGGACATCTTTAGCATCAGCAGGAGAGTAGATCTGAGCTCCTTTGGGCATTCTGAGGTCTGTTCTAGGCAGAGCTGGCAGCACCCACAACATCCCCTTCCATAATTGGAAAAATTAATAAATTCCAGAAATTGTCTTTATCATCTCCAGGCTGCTGATGACACAGGAGCAGAGACACCATTGTGCTGAGAATCCTGCTTTTTAGAATATCAGGCACCAGCATCTCGAGGCAGTCACACCCAGGGTTGGAAAGTTCCTTTTTCACCATTTGCAGCCTGTTTTGCTCAGGAAAATCCAGTGGCTGGCACATCTGGGAAGCAAAGCTCTGCATGCAAGTCCTGGAGTGCCTCAGACAAGTCACTCCATCTTGTCTGCCTCTATTTCCCCAGCCAGGAAAGAGACTTTTTAACCCAGGTCCCATGAAGGCAATTCAGCCTTGGACTGTCATGTTTTTGAGAAGAGACTCTCCACATCACTTCTGCAAATTCAGGAATCAAAATTCTGTTTCTGCCTTCCCAGCTCCCTGCCCATCACAGGACAGCAGCCCTGGCATGTCACCACCCTCCTCCAGCAATGTGACAGCCAAATTATATCCCTAATCAAAAAGAAGAGCTATTATGATTTTCCTCCCCTCTTCCCTTCAAAATTTCCCATCACGTGTGTGACTTAGTCCTGCCTCTCCTTCGAATACTCTGCATCTGATGAATGGTGCTTTGCTTGGATATTTGCCAGGTTTCAGGTGTAAAAATGTCTTCATACATCCCAAAATATCTTCATAAACCCCAAAATGTCTTCACAGCACCCCTGACTGGAGTGTCTGCCCCTGTAACTGGAGACAAGGAGTGAGTGCTCTCCTGTAGCTGCCCAACTCCAATTAAGTATTGTTTTCTCCATGTCTATCTTCCCCCAAGAGTATCCCAGGCAAACACATTTTCTTCACTTCAAAGCAAACCCAGACTCAGCTCCACAATCAGCTCTAAGTGAGGACAGAATGAGAATTAAATAGCCACACATTAACAGAATTGGGTCTCTCCTAGAGGGGCCATATCCTGCTGAATTTAATTTTCAGGAGCATGCTGAAGGCTGCAGAGAAAATTCTGGCCAGAGCTTTGGTCAGTTTATGCTACAAAAGCAGAGCCTGGCAGGAATGGCCCAGAGAGAAGCACACAGAGCTCTCTACATGACAAAGGAAGGAGATTTCTAACATCTGTTAAAAATGTCTTGTTTTAATGCAATGTCTGCTTTGCTTTAATGGAGTGTGTCTGTTCTAAAGGAAAACCTGTTTTCCAAGCTGCAGAGGCCTCGTCCCAGCTCTCATCCTTGCCCAGGGAGCAGGGCTGAGGGCAGTTTTGCATTCCCCCCATCCCTTCCTCATTTTTATCAGCTCACACCAACCCAGAGCAGCAGTGGAACAGAACAACTGCAAACATGTGTGACTTTTCTATTTCCAGGGGGCATTTGGAGCCCAGCTGCTTCCAGGAGAGCCCCACACCTAGCAGAGAATGCAGGCTGCTGCTTCCTCCCCACCCTCAGCAGCGAGGACACAGGACAGGGAAGAGGATAAAGCCCTTTCAGGTGGAAAAGGCTCTGTGTCCTTACTGCTGTTGAATCCAACACACATCTGATGAGGCAGAGCCCAAAGCTCAGGCCCTGAGGAGGCACAAATGCTTCTAAATATACAGAGAGACCAACTCCCTTCTCTCCCTGCTTTGTTCATTTATTCCCCTCAGAAGAACAAGGCGTTCTCCTCCCCTGCTGCCTTTCCACGGGAGCAGCAGGATCCAGGGCCTCTGCCTGCATCCCCAACATGAAAAGCTTTTGCAGGAGCCTTCTGCTCAATGAAACCCTTCCTTCCTGCTGCCCAGCATGGACACAGGGATACCTGCTCAGTGAGGAATGTGCTCTCTGGAGCAGAGCTGGGGGAGCCTGGTGCTTGTCAAAAGTCATTTTTGGCTTACTGAGTTTGCTCCCTCACCTCTGCCACTGATGGCACAAAATAAAAGTCTCCTGGCAACTGCTGCTTTTAACCTGCAAGTGCTGAAGCACAAAGGAATACCTGAGAATGCTTTAAGTTGCCAAAAAAATGTCATTTCTCTCAGCTGCTTATTCCTCCCTCAGTGATATCAATTCTTTCTGTTGGATTAGAACAGCAGGGAAAATAGAGAAATCATCTGAACCGAGATTAGCCCCTCAGTCAGCAGAACTGCGTGAAAAAAAGGCAGAAATAGAAGATGCCTGTTTTGGTTCCCAGCCTGTGGACAACACCTGACTTAGCACAAAGTGTCCCTCCCCTACCTGCTTGGAGTAGCCTCCATAGATGATGATGTTGCCCTCAGGGGTGGGAGTCATTTGACAGCCAGATCTTGGAGCAGGCCCCATCCCTGCAGGAGCCAGCTTGCTCCAGGTGAAGGAGTCCAGGTTGAAGGTGTACACATCGTTGTAGTAGATGAAATCTCTGCAGAGAGCACATTTTGTGATGTGGACACTCAGGGCAGGATAAAACAGCACCTCAGAGCTCTACTCACACCCCCCGTTGGAGAAGGTGTTTCTACAAGACGAGGATCTGACAAGATTCTGAGGCCAAAAGTGCTGGACTGAGCTTTGGCTACAAGCATGGGAACCTGCTTCAGTGCTAAAATGATTTTTCCCACACCTGAAGACTTTAAATCAAGATCCCTTGTCTTTCTAACACAAAGATCTAGTTCAGTCACCATCCTGCTGAGGATAACCCTCCCATTAACACCGAGATTTCTGTTACTGGTGAAATTTTGTTGCCTTTTTTAAGGAGGACTCAAACTCCCATCCATGCCAGCAACCCACCTTGCACTCTCATGGAAACCTCCAAAGATGATCAGCTGCCTTTTGCACACAACCATCCGATGTCCACTTCGTCCAGAGGGCCCTCCTGGTGCCCTGAAACACAAAGAAATTCCATTTATCAGCAAAATCCCCTGGCCTGGTAATGCATCAGGCCATTTCTGCTGAAGTCATTGGCAGCTGAGCTGGTTGAGCTCTGCCTTAAGTTTTAGCTTTCATATTTTTCATATTCTGCCCTGCCCAGGTGTGTGGTTTAGAGCTTCATATTCAGTGTCAGTGAGCTCTCTTCACAGAGCAGCCAGACAAAACAATTCCTTTTCCAGCTTGGTACCAAGGACAATCGTTACAAGTTTCAGGCCCAAGAGCAGAAACAACGCTGGGCTGAAGAGAGAGAACAGGATGGGACTGCAGAACCTGGAGCTGTAATTGGACAATCAACCCCAATATGCAGATGGACCAAAACTTATAAAAATGTGAGGCCAATTGTCCATTTCATGACCATTTTTAGGTCTATCCTGGGTGCAGCCCTGGCCAGGCTCTTGTACTGCCCAAGGTGTGTCCTTTAGGGCCTTTCAATAAATCCCTGCTTTCTCCTGAGCTCTGTGCAGCCTCTGCTCCAGCTCAGCCCTCTCCAGGCATCAAGCCTCTCCTGGCAATGGGAACCATTGGGAATGTGGTTGCCTCAATCCATGACTGCTTTTCTCCAGGACAGGATGGGTGCTCTTCCTGGAACTCCTGGGACTGCAGCACAGGCAGTTTTATTCCTAGAGATAAACCACCCTAACAGCACCCAAAGTCTTTTCAGTGATGACTCAGGAGCTGATTCTTCAGCTGATTCTTCTCCTTCAGGAGAGTTTGATGAACAGCACTTCACAATTGCCAGGAAGACACTCCAAACTGAGATGTTTTCTCCAAGCACCAAGAGACAAAGCCTGGCTCTGACATCCCTCAGCGTCTCAGGAAGTCTCACAACACCTTCACTCATCCACCTGCAGTTTGGGTATGACTCCAAACCAGTGAAAACACTTCATGAGTTACCCAGATTTCCCCAAGAACAAAGGCACTGCAGCAAAACAAGTCATCATTATCAACATCATCCTACTGAAGGAGGGCAGGGATAGATGGGTTGTTGGGAAGGAATTCTTCCTGGCACAGGTGCCCAGAGAAGCTGTGGCTGCCCCTGGATCCCTGGAAGTGTCCATGGCCAGGCTGGACGGGGCTTGGAGCACCCTGGGATGGTGGAAGGTGTCCCTGATCATGGAGGGGAAGGAATGGGATGGGATTTAAGATCCATTCCAACCCAAACTATTCCATGACTCTGACTCACTCTATGATCCTACACACTCAAAAGCAGCCACACATTCCTGTTCTGCTCTTCCAAGCTTTCCTGACCTTTCAGTTAAATGTGCTGCTTCCATTTCCAGAACCAAACGACACACCCTCCATCTGTCCCATCCAAAAGGCTCCCGAGGAGCTGGGCAGCTGGACACCATTCCAGCATGGATTCACCTCCTTTCCTTCACGTTCACCCACGGCATCACACGAGACACAACACAAACAACTCCAACAACACCAGCTTTGGGCCAAAGAGGGTTTGCTGTGTGTGTTCTCTGCCCCCACGGATGAATCCATCCTGTTTTCCCTCGCTGAGGAGTCTCCCAAAGTTCCCAGCTGGCACCACTGAGCCTAGCAAGACTCCTCCAATAGGCAGCATGAAGGTGTGGAAGTGATTGCACAATCAGGGCCTAAATAAATAAAAGTTGAAGAAACAGCAGCAAAACCTAAAGCCACAAACCCCCGGCCACACTTGGAGTGGCAGCAGGGAGCTGGGAATGTGGTGATGGATCTCTATGGAGAGAGAAAATGAGGGTCCTTATTCACCATGGAAAATGACAACCTCACCCTGGTGATAATGAGAAACTCCACCAGAACAGCAGCATTTGGGGAAGACTGAATTAATATTGATTGCTTGCACTCCTTATTCTAACAGAGAGGAGGTTTTTCCAAGCATTTACTGGATCTTTAAGTATCACCCTGCAGAACAGCACCTCTGGTATTAATTTCATCAAGACCTGAAATCATTATTTTCCCTTGCTGTAACAAAGCTCCTGTGTCATTACTCCAGAAGATGGCACATTTTAAATCATCTTTTTATTTTTTTTTTTTAAGGAGAGGATGAATTAAAACCCAATTTGAGCACTAAAATCCTGTTCTCAGAGAATATCTTGTGCTGTGTTGCTCAAGCAGGTTTCCTCTGAGTTCAAAATCAATAAAAGTTTATTCATTGATGTGTTTTAATAAAGCTCCACCAATGTAGATTTAACTCCAAGGCACAAATGGCACAGGCAGGCAGGACTGGCAGTGATGCAGAACCTCATTCCCACTCCAGGAGGATCTTCCTGTAACTTTTTTCCCCAACACAAACTCTTCCCTTTCACCTGTTTCAGTGCTCCTGGTCCCAAAGAAACATTTTGGGAATGGTTTCCCAGACTTTGTGATTAATGCTCTATTTCATGGGGTTGACACCAGAAAGCAGACGTGGGAGGGAGCTGTAAATTCTCCAGACTTCTTTTAAAAATAGATGAAAAAGTCTGGCTAAGGACTGGCTCTACACATGTACAGCATGAGGCTGATCTGAGCTGCTCCATAAGGAATTTTCTTTTTCCTGTGGAGTTACTCTGGGACTTGTAGTAACAAACCAGAGCTGAATTCAGCCCCCAGATTCATGAATTACTCGTCCCAGTGGCTACAGGCTGCAGGAGTTGCCTCTTCATCCTCAGGATGCCCAGGTAAAGCTTGGGAATGCTCAATAATAATAAAAATGGGGATGAAGAGAACATCCCATCACAGGGGCACTTGAGGACAGAGCACTTTTATCCTGCACAGGAAGCTGAACTCAGGATTTGTGTTGTTTTTCACCTTTCCCTGGCAATGTCCTAGTGTTGGGGTCAGTGACACACACAGATCCTGTCCCCTCATGTCTCAGGTGGAAATAGAGAAGGGAAAAGACAACTGGGCCCAAAATCCTCAATTCCAACCCCTTGCAAAATCAATCCACAGTTGTACACCTGACCCACCAAAGAACAAACTCATTTCTGGGCTGACAATCTACTTGATTTACACCAAAACACCCTTTTCTTTGAGCACCTTCTACCTGCTGTGGCAGGACCTGATTTTTTTGGTGAGCAAGGAGAGGCACTGGGCCATCCTCCACTTCAGAGACTGCTCCAGTTAAACACACACTGGTGAAACTGGGAAATTCATAGCATAACATCCCACCAAATCCTACAGGAAGTATCACCAGCATTCCAGAATTTCAGTGAAGGGAGCTCCAGAGGAGAGATGTGGCAATCCCCAAGCACAAGCCCCAAGGATGCTCCCTGTCTCTCCCTGAGGGAGTGCACGGGGCCACAGGGAGCTGAGTGGGAATGTTCTCTCCAGGAAGGAATGAGGCAATTAGGTTAAAATATTGCTGCTCCAAGGCAGGGTAACCAGCAGTTCATGGACTGAGGAAACCTCGTGCATCACACACAAGATAAGGTGGCTGCACTAAGTCAAAGTCAGCTGCTGGCACGGCTTCTAACGGGCTGGGATTTGCTGTGTTTGGATCATCTTTGTGCATGCAAAATGCAAGGAAACACAGCTAAATCTTGCTAAATTTAGCAACTTTTAACTCTGTCAGGCAGCCTGGCACCACTGTGCTCTGTGCTAGGAGAAAATAGAGCTGCACTTCCCAGCACAGGGAAGTTTTCACTGTCAGTCAAGGTTTCCAGTTGTTTCAGAATTCAACAATGTTTCAGAATTTGGGTGGCAAGTGTTTCAGAATCAAGCCCCCCACAGCACCAGGACGGTTCGTGGCAGGAATTGTAGGCCAGGAAGGACAACATCATCGTCTGGAATCTGAACTGTGGGGCTGGATAAACTAGAATTTCATGTTTAGATCACAGCAGGGTCATCTTGCACAAACCAACACAACAAACCCACCTGCAACGGGGCACTCGTGATCCTTCCCATGGGAACAGAAACAGAAACGTTGCCTCTCTTGTCCAGACATTTCTTCATGAATAATTAATTTTATTACTTTATTATTTGCACTAAAATGTCATTTTCTAGACCCCACACTAGTCTGTCACCTGGCATTTATTCAGGTAACACCAGCAGCACATTGGATAAATGGAATTATTCCCTGGGCTGTGTGAAGGCTCTTGGTACCAGGGATTGTTCCCCACCACGATTCCAACAAATGGGAAATGCTGAAGGAAATGAAGTGCAGCAGGTTCAGAGTTTTATAAGAAGCAGGAAAAATTCCCTGCACAGCTAATCCCAAACCTCCCACAGCTACTGGGCAAGGAGAGGCAGACACAGGTCACAGACCCCACAGACTCTAGCAGGGTGAAAAGGGATCAGCCTGGACAGATTTGGCGTTCCCACCTGAAGGAAGAACATGGAGCTCCTAAGTGATCAAAAGCTGCTGCTTTTCTCAGTGCCCTTGGAGGGTGATCTGGAGCTCCAGCCCATCCAAAGCTGTGTTCAGAGTACAAGACAATCCCAAAATCCAAGAGGAAGCCAATGCCAACTCAGATCCAAAGCCAATCTCCTGCCTCTCAGCCCACTGGATGTCACCAGAACTCTCCTCTCATGCAAATACAAACATGAGCAGCCAAAGCAAGGAGACAAAGGTTAAAGAAACATCAACAGAGGACTCTGGGGCAGATCCACTGAAAATATTTACGCTTTCACTCCTGTCAAAAACTTCTGGCACCTGTTTCCTTTGACAGGCCTGAGTTACTGGCTTGTTTATCCCAAAGAATCTCAAGGCAGCAAATGCCAGCTCCCAGGAGTGAAGTTGGGTAGGTACAAACTGGCTTCTCCAGTCATGTTAAAATCAGGAGATCCTTGCACTGGTCTTGTAGAGCCCCCACTGGAGGAGCCCAGGAAAACAGAGCACCAGTTTTGGACATCTGGACCTGCCAAGGTTGGGAACAGGGAGCTGTTCATGATACTCTTCCCCTCAGATAAGCAACACCAACCCACACCCCAAAAATCAGGTATGAAATAAACCACCTTTTGTCTCAACAGGCTTGGAACACATCTCTCATTCCCACTTCTTTCTGGAGATGTCTTCTCCACCCTTTGGAGCACGGGCACCTCTGCATTTAAGGGAAAGCTGGGAAATGACAACACTGGACCAGGAATCAAACTTGGATCACACTGGCACAGCTCCTTATGAGGCCAAAGAGTCACTGAACACCAGGATCTCAGGGATCACTGAGATCCAAATTTCTTGGCAAAAGTATGCTCCAGACATGAGGGCTCAGCACTTACTTGATCTGCTCCCAGGTCCTGGTGGCCAAATGCAGGACCCAGAGATCTTTGTAGTGGTAGAACTGCTCCCCGTTGGGAGAGGCAAATTCCCCTCCGAAGATCCAGAGCTGCCCCCCAGCCGTGGGCACCACAGCTGCCTGCAGGACAAGGAAGAGCTGGATCAGAGCAGGGTTCCAAACCAGGCACGGAACTTCCCCAGTCAAGCATCCAAATCCCAGGGAACAGGGATTTCCCACAGATCCTGAAGGACCCTGCTGATCCTTCATCTCTCTGGGGCTGAAGGAAGGAGAACTTGGATTAAAAGGTGCTCAGTGTTTAGCACACCTTCCCTAGAGCAAGGGAAAGCTGGCCTAGGAGCTGGGCTCTTCCCACCTCCTGTGGGAAGTTCAAAGTTTCCTAGGAAACATCTTGGGATTAATGTAACAAAAATTATTCAACTCTCTGTTCAGAACCAAACTAACAACAGAAAGAAAACAAAAACAAAAACAAAAACAAAAAACAAAAACAAAAAAAAAAAACAAATAAAGAAGGAAATGTGCAATATTTGGACTGTTACTTAAAATTTTCTGTGTTAGGACCAAAGAAGAAGGAAGGAATCCCAAGAAGGAAATGCTGTGGCTGTGCAAATTTCAATTTGTGTTTTCTCCAGGGTACCCATCACAGCTCAACATTGGGATAATGATCTCTTTCCTCACAAGGCTTCATTCCTTGCCTGTCTCTCCCATCAAAAAAAAAAAGATTTTTAGTCCCACACAGGACCATGCCCTACCATAAACCAGCCCAAACATGAAATGATTAAATAAGAAAATCCAGGGTGTGCTTTCAGGCAGGATGTGTGGGAACATGAAGTTACCTAAACAAAGGAGATGTGAGCCTGAATTCCATGGGCATCCAGTGCTCAGAACCTTAAAGGGAGGGTTTATGCAACAGCCTGCTCATACTTGTAGGTGACCTTTCCAAGAGCTTGCTTGAAATTCATGACAAAACCAAATCTTTTCCTTGAACAACTGCCAACACCTGCCCATAGCTCCTCTCACCTCAATTCCAACAGTGGATTGTGTGTCAGAGACCAAGGATGTCAAATAAAACTGAAAACATGCACCTGGCACCCACAGACACACTTCTTTTTAACTCTGAGCTATGCTATGTTAAATAGGAAGCCACAAGGAAGGCAAAGCAGTCAGCTCAAGAGGCTGAACTGCCTCCTGTGAAACCATAAAATCAATTATCAGACAGAGAACACTGCTGAAGCAGGACTCCTCAGTTGATTGCTGTAATCCAGCTGCAGCTCCTGCTGTAATCCAGCTGCAGCTCCTGAGCTGCTTCCTTTGGATTGAGCTGCTCGACAGCCACCTGCTGGCTACTGGAAAGTGGCCTCTGAAACCAAGTTCTATTTTAAACGACACAAAGTAGCCCAAAAATCAAGTCAGAATCTTTCAATTCAAGGATACAGAGCTGGGAGCAAGACTGGCAGTTAGTAACATAACAAAGGGATGTGAACCTAATTGAGATGCTGGATTTTCCCAGGGAGCTTTGGGGTGGGTAGGAAAAGGACATTCACATCCTGTATGGCAGCTTTGGGAAGGCACCAGTCACCCACTGGCTGCAGCAGGTAAGAAAATCTATCAGCTGGTGAGGGAAAAAGACCTGCAAAAAATACAAGTCTTTGATCCAGGTTCTACTGTGCAGGTGTTCACATAAAGTAAACAAACCCAAATCCTTCATCCTCACAAGCAGCCAGCAACCTGGATTTGCAGAGGTGGAGAGGAGCCCAAGTGCTCCCTGCTGGCAGCAGTGGCAGTGTCTGGGATGTTCATGCATGTAGAGCTGTGGCCACGAAGGGAACAATGGGTTTGGGTCAAATTCCAGTAGGAAAATTCAGGGATTATGGATTTGAGCTGGTCTTTGTATAGTGCAGCAAAGAAAATTCATTTCTAAGGGATCTCCCCTCTGGCTCTGCTTGAGCCCTACCAAATCAACAGATACAAGCCCAAATCTCCACTCCACACTGAACACTGCCAGAGGACACCCAGTGACCAGAGCACCTTGGACAGGTCCAAGCAGAAAAGGTGAAATGACACCGCTGGCAGCTCATTTTGAGAACAAAAAGAGGCAAGAAACCCTCAGGAGGTGAAAAAATTCAAACCCTCCTCCCAAATCATCTGTAGAACAATTCCAGCTGCTGCTCTGGCAGCCAGAGCTTTACCTGGTGAGCACAACGCCTCGGGGGTGGGTTGGGGATGTCCAGTTTGGTCCAGCTGTTCTTCCTGATGTGGTAAATGTACAGATCATTGTACAGGTAGGTCTGTGAGACAGGGAGAGGAAAGAACAGCTCAGCTCAGCTCTGCATGGGGGGACTTGGGGTGAAAATTGCAAAGCACAACCTCAGTGGGCAGAGAAGAAGCACAATGAGCTCCTACACTGCACTGGGAGGCAGCAACTCTTCCACTGGGCTGGAATTTCCCAAACCCTTGGTGACAGCTTGAGATACGAGGATTTAAAAAGCTGGAGCTTAACACAGATGTTCAGGTTAAAGCTGCCCAACTCCAGAGCAAAGGACAGCTCCAGGTGGTAAAAAAAAGCAGTTCAGTTCATCACACTGGGTAACTCTGAGGTGGCCAAACATCACTGCCAGGCTGGAGTTTTCCAGAGCAGTTTGTCTCCAGGAGCACAACATCCACTTGCAACCTGCAGAAATTCAGGAAAATGAGTGTTCCTGAGTGCAGTAATTTGCTACTGCTCCCATCTTTGCCAGCAGCAAAGGTGCAGAAATACCTTGTTTTGAGAAGTGCAAGAGATTCTTCACTAGTTATCCCAAATGGGGGGCAGATGTGGCTACAATTAAGTCTGGAGAAATTATGAAGCCCTGAAATATTGATGCTGAGACAATCACTCTGACTCCTTAATGGGTTCCAGCGTGTCTCCTTCCTGCCAACTGCTCAGCCATGAGACAGAGCCATGGCAGAATTAAAAGGCTATTTTGCTCTCATTCAGGGACAAATACATATTTTATGACTCTGCCTTGAATTTCCCTTCAAATGAGACCCGTGCAAATTACAGGAAAAGGAGGGAGGGGGGAGATAAAGTAGAAGAAAATGAAGTATACATTACTTTTTGGCCATTGAAATATTCACCTCCAAAAAGGATCAGCTCATCTCTCTCAGGGTGAGCACAGAGGGAGCAGTTCAGCCTGAAAGAAAAAAAGAGGATGGAAAGAAAAAAAATGATGTGAAAGTCCTTAAACCCCTGAACTTTGGAGCTTTTAACTCAGGCACCAGCACCTCTGCCCTCCAGCCACAAAGGTCTCCCTATCATCTGCCAAATTACCCTGCTGTGATGTTCACCCCAAGGCTAAAAACTTCTCCAAAGAAATTAATTCCTTCCAAAACTTCCAGCAAGATGAATTGGGCACTGTCTGAGAGGCTCTCCTATTTCAGGAGCACACGTTACTCTGTGATTTAACTCCCCCTTTGACGTGAGCTCCTGAATTTTAATGCTGGGGTGGCAGGAACAAAAATTACTTTTATGAGGGCACAGAACTCTGGGCTGTCTCCTCTCCATTTATCTGTGTCATTGTTCTGCACTTGCTGCTGGTCACTGCTCTCCTGAATACCCCAAGTTTGTGAACCCCACTTAGCAAAGTGCTTTTCACCTCATGACACATCCTTTTGCCTCTGAATTCCCTTCAACCCTCTAGTTCAAATCTTCCTCTTCACTTTTATTTTCCCTCAAAGCCCTGAAATCTAACCCTGCTTTGGCTCTTCTGTGCTGATGGGG